TGATACTCAGTTTGTTTACATTGACTCACACTGTGTCACTCAGTTTGTTTACATTGACCCACACTGTGACACTCAGTTTGTTTACATTGACTCACACTGTGTCACTCAGTTTGTTTACATTGACTCACACTGTGACACTCAGTTTGTTTACATTGACTCACACTGTGTCACTCAGTTTGTTTACATTGACTCACACTGTGACACTCAGTTTGTTTACATTGACTCACACTGTGACACAGTTTGATTACATTGACTCACACTGTGTCACTCAGTTTGTTTACATTGACTCACATTGTGACACTCAGTTTGTTTACATTGACTCACACTGTGTCACTCAGTTTGTTTACATTGACTAACACTGTGATACTCAGTTTGTTTACACTGACTCACACTGTGACACTCAGTTTGTTTACACTGACTCATACTGTGACACTCAGTTTGTTTACACTGACTCATACTGTGATACTCAGTTTGTTTACACTGACTCACACTGTGACACTCAGTTTGTTTACACTGACTCACACTGTGACACTCAGTTTGTTTACATTGACTCACACTGTGACACTCAGTTTGATTACATTGACTCACACTGTGTCACTCAGTTTGTTTACATTGACTCACATTGTGTCACTCAGTTTGTTTACATTGACTCACACTGTGACACTCAGTTCATTTACATTGACTCACATTGTGACACTCAGTTTGATTACATTGACTCACACTGTGTCACTCAGTTTGTTTACATTGACTCACATTGTGACACTCAGTTTGTTTACATTGACTCACACTGTGACACTCAGTTTGTTTACATTGACTCACACTGTGTCACTCAGTTTGTTTACATTGACTCACACTGTGACACTCAGTTTGTTTACATTGACTAACACTGTGTCACTCAGTTTGTTTACATTGACTCACACTGTGTCACTCAGTTTGTTTACATTGACTCACACTGTGACACTCAGTTTGTTTACATTGACACACTGTGACACTCAGTTTGTTTACATTGACCCACATTGTGACACTCAGTTTGTTCACACTGTGACACTCAGTTTGTTTACACTGACTCATACTGTGATACTCAGTTTGTTTACATTGACTCACATTGTGTCACTCAGTTTGTTTACATTGACTCACACTGTGACACTCAGTTTGTTTACATTGACTCACATTGTGACACTCAGTTTGATTACATTGACTCACACTGTGTCACTCAGTTTGTTTACATTGACTCACATTGTGACACTCAGTTTGTTTACATTGACTCACACTGTGACACTCAGTTTGTTTACATTGACTCACACTGTGTCACTCAGTTTGTTTACATTGACTCACACTGTGACACTCAGTTTGTTCACACTGACTCACATTGTGACACTCAGTTTGTTTACACTGACTCACACTGTGATACTCAGTTTGTTCACACTGACTCACATTGTGACACTCAGTTTGTTTACATTGTCCCACATTGTGACACTCAGTTTGTTCACACTGTGACACTCAGTTTGTTTACACTGACTCATACTGTGATACTCAGTTTGTTTACATTGACTCACACTGTGTCACTCAGTTTGTTTACATTGACTCATACTGTGACACTCAGTTTGTTTACACTGACTCACACTGTGACACTCAGTATGCAGCTCCATGGCTGGGACAGATAGCTGGTATTAATGTGAATATAAGGCAGCTCTGTGCCATGTGACATGTTCCCATTCAGCACACTGTGACACTCAGTTTGTTTACATTGACTCACACTGTGACACTCAGTTTGTTTACACTGACTCACACTGTGACACTCAGTATGCAGCTCCATGGCTGGGACAGATAGCTGGTATTAATGTGAATATAAAGCAGCTCTGTGCCATGTGACATGTTCCCATTCAGCACACTGTGACACTCAGTTTGTTTACATTGACTCACACTGTGACACTCAGTTTGTTTACATTGACTCACACTGTGACACTCAGTTTGTTTACACTGACTCACATTGTGACACTCAGTTTGTTTACACTGACTCACACTGTGATACTCAGTTTGTTCACACTGACTCACATTGTGACACTCAGTTTGTTTACATTGACCCACATTGTGACACTCAGTTTGTTCACACTGTGACACTCAGTTTGTTTACACTGACTCATACTGTGATACTCAGTTTGTTTACATTGACTCACACTGTGTCACTCAGTTTGTTTACATTGACTCATACTGTGACACTCAGTTTGTTTACACTGACTCACACTGTATTACCTTGCCAGTATGCAGCTCCATGGCTGGGACACAGATAGCTGGTACAATGTGAATATAAAGCAGCTCTTGTGCCATGTGTGACATGTTCTATTCAAAGTACACTGTGACACTCAGTTTGTTTACATTGACTCACACTGTGACACTCAGTTTGTTCACACTGACTCACATTGTGACACTCAGTTTGTTTACACTGACTCACACTGTGATACTCAGTTTGTTCACACTGACTCACATTGTGACACTCAGTTTGTTTACATTGACCCACATTGTGACACTCAGTTTGTTCACACTGTGACACTCAGTTTGTTTACACTGACTCATACTGTGATACTCAGTTTGTTTACATTGACTCACACTGTGTCACTCAGTTTGTTTACATTGACTCATACTGTGACACTCAGTTTGTTTACACTGACTCACACTGTGACACTCAGTATGCAGCTCCATGGCTGGGACAGATAGCTGGTATTAATGTGAATATAAAGCAGCTCTGTGCCATGTGACATGTTCCCATTCAGCACACTGTGACACTCAGTTTGTTTACATTGACTCACACTGTGACACTCATTTTTTTTACATTGACTCACACTGTGACACTCAGTTTGTTCACACTGACTCACATTGTGACACTCAGTTTGTTTACACTGACTCACACTGTGATACTCAGTTTGTTCACACTGACTCACATTGTGACACTCAGTTTGTTTACATTGACCCACATTGTGACACTCAGTTTGTTCACACTGTGACACTCAGTTTGTTTACACTGACTCATACTGTGATACTCAGTTTGTTTACATTGACTCACACTGTGTCACTCAGTTTGTTTACATTGACTCACACTGTGACACTCAGTTTGTTTACATTGACTCACACTGTGACACTCAGTTTGTTTACATTGACTCACACTGTGACACTCAGTTTGTTCACACTGACTCACATTGTGACACTCAGTTTGTTCACACTGACTCACACTGTGATACTCAGTTTGTTTACACTGACTCACATTGTGACACTTAGTATGCAGCTCCATGGCTGGGACAGATATCTGGTATTAATGTGAATATAAAGCAGCTCTGTGTCACGTGACATGTTCCCATTCAGCACACTGTGACACTCAGTTTGTTTACATTGACTCACACTGTGACACTCAGTTTGTTTACATTGACTCACACTGTGACACTCAGTTTGTTCACACTGACTCACATTGTGACACTCAGTTTGTTTACACTGACTCACACTGTGACACTCAGTTTGTTTACATTGACTCACACTGTGACACTCAGTTTGTTTACACTGACTCACACTGTGATACTCAGTTTGTTTACATTGACTCACATTGTGACACTCAGTTTGTTTACACTGACTCACATTGTGACACTCAGTTTGTTTACATTGACTCACACTGTGTCACTCAGTTTGTTTACACTGACTCATACTGTGACACTCAGTTTGTTTACATTGACTCACATTGTGACAGTCAGTGTGCAGCTCCATGGCTGGGACAGATATCTGGTATTAATGTGAATATAAAGCAGCTCTGTGTCACGTGACATGTTCCCATTCAGCACACTGTGACACTCAGTTTGTTTACATTGACTCACACTGTGACACTCAGTTTGTTTACATTGACTCACACTGTGACACTCAGTTTGTTCACACTGACTCACATTGTGACACTCAGTTTGTTTACACTGACTCACACTGTGACACTCAGTTTGTTTACATTGACTCACACTGTGACACTCAGTTTGTTCACACTGACTCACACTGTGATACTCAGTTTGTTTACATTGACTCACATTGTGACACTCAGTTTGTTTACACTGACTCACATTGTGACACTCAGTTTGTTTACATTGACTCACACTGTGTCACTCAGTTTGTTTACACTGACTCATACTGTGACACTCAGTTTGTTTACATTGACTCACATTGTGACAGTCAGTGTGCAGCTCCATGGCTGGGACAGATATCTGGTATTAATGTGAATATAAAGCAGCTCTGTGTCACGTGACATGTTCCCATTCAGCACACTGTGACACTCAGTTTGTTTACATTGACTCACACTGTGACACTCAGTTTGTTTACATTGACTCACACTGTGACACTCAGTTTGTTTACATTGACTCACACTGTGACACTCAGTTTGTTCACACTGACTCACATTGTGACACTCAGTTTGTTTACACTGACTCACACTGTGACACTCAGTTTGTTTACATTGACTCACACTGTGACACTCAGTTTGTTCACACTGACTCACACTGTGATACTCAGTTTGTTTACATTGACTCACATTGTGACACTCAGTTTGTTTACATTGACTCACACTGTGACACTCAGTTTGTTCACACTGACTCACACTGTGATACTCAGTTTGTTTACATTGACTCACATTGTGACACTCAGTTTGTTTACATTGACTCACACTGTGACACTCAGTTTGTTCACACTGACTCACACTGTGATACTCAGTTTGTTTACATTGACTCACATTGTGACACTCAGTTTGTTTACACTGACTCACACTGTGACACTCAGTTTGTTTACACTGACTCACACTGTGATACTCAGTTTGTTTACACTGACTCACACTGTGATACTCAGTTTGTTTACACTGACTCACACTGTGACACTCAGTATGCAGCTCCATGGCTGGGACAGATAGCTGGTATTAATGTGAATATAAAGCAGCTCTGTGTCACGTGACATGTTCCCATTCAGCACACTGGGCCTATTCCATTCACACATTGTACACAGAGACAGCAGCAGCCTGGGAATCGGCACATCTCGCATCGATTGCTCTTCCTATGCGGATGTGTTCGATAGCTCAGCTCCGATTAACAGGGTCTGGGTCGCTGGATGCCACGTGATCGGTGTCTCTGCGCTGATTGGCCCGGTCTGGCTCGATGTCTCTGCGCTGATTGGCCGGGTCTGGCTCTGTGTCTCTGGGTTGATTGGCCGGGTCTGGCTCGATGTCTCTGCGCTGATTGGCCGGGTCTGGCTCGGTGTCTCTGGGTTGATTAGCCGGGTCTGGCTCGGTGTCGGCCGCAGTGTCTGTGTGTAGCTCGGTACCGGCTGTTGTGGATCCGCCATGGCTCAGGATGTCGCCCGCCTGTCTAAGAACCTGCTGCGAATGAAGGTGAGAGCGGCCCGCGGGCCAAACATGGAGCCCTCCCCTCTCCCCCCCCCTACCCCACCTCACTGCCTGACACCACATGGCAACCCAGCATGGGGGGGGATCCATGGAGGGGGACTCTCACCGCCCACACCACATGGCAACCCAGCATGGGATCCTGGAGGGACAGACAGAGTGTGCATGGGGCAGACCTACAGACAGAGTGTGGGATATGGGGATCCAAGAGTGTGTGGATATGGGGGACCACAGACAGCAGAGTGTGATATGGGGGACTACAGACAGAGGTGTGATATGGGGGACCATAGACAGAGTGTGGATATGGGGATCATAGACAGAGTGTGTGATATGGGGATCATAGACAGAGTGTTACGGGGGATCATAGACAGAGCGTGATATGGGGATCATAGACAGAGTGTGTGATATGGGGATCAGAGTGTGTGATAGACAGAGGGGTGGGGGATCATAGACAGAGTGTGTGATATGGGGATCAGACAGAGTGTGATATGGGGATCATAGACAGAGTGTGTGATATGGGGCAGACAGAGTGTGATATGGGGGTGATCACAGACAGAGTGTGATATGGGGGGTCATAGACAGAGTGTGTGAGTGTGTGATATGGGGGGACTCAGCAAGTGTGATATGGGGACCAGACAGAGGTGGATATGGGGACACAGACAGAGGTGTGATATGGGGGATACAGACAGAGTGTGATGATGGGGGGATCATAGACAGAGTGTGGATATGGGGGGCGACAGAGTGTGGATATGGGGGTCATAGACAGAGTGTGTGATATGGGACAGAGTGATATGCCATAGACAGAGTGTGTGGATATGGGGGATCATAGACAGAGTGTGTGATATGGGGGGATCATAGACAGAGTGTGTGATATGGGGATCATAGACAGAGTGTGTGATATGGGGGGGATCATAGACAGAGTAAGTGATATGGGGGGTCATGACATGGGACTACAGACAGAGTGTGTGATATGGGGGACTGGCAGACAGAGTGTGTGATATATGGGGGATCATAGACAGAGTGTGATATGGGGATCATAGAGTGTGGATATGGGGGATCATAGACAGAGGTGTGATATGGGGATCATAGGAGGTGTGATATGGAGCAGACAGAGTGTGTGATAATGGGGATCATAGACAGAGTGTGTGATATGGGGGGGATCATAGACAGAGTGTGATATGGGGGATCTGGACAGAGGTGTGATATGGGGATCATAGACAGAGTGTGTGTGATATGGGGATCATAGACAGAGTGTGATATGGGGGATCATAGACAGAGTGTGTGATATGGGGGATCATAGACAGAGTGTGTGATATGGGGATCATAGACAGAGTGTGATATGGGGATATGTGTGGGGGATCACAGACAGAGTGTGTGATATGGGGGGGATCAGACATGTGTGATATGGGGATCATAGACAGAGTGTGGCATAAGTGGGGGATCATAGACAGAGGTGTGATATGGGGATATAGTGTGATATGGGGGATCATAGAGTGAGTGTGTGTGATATGGGGGACTATAGACAGAGTGTGTGGATATGGGGGATCATAGACAGAGTGTGTGATATGGGGGATCATAGACAGAGGTGATATGGGGATCATAGACAGAGTGTGTGATATGGGGGGATCATAGACAGAGTGTGTGATATGGGGGATCATAGACAGAGTGTGTGATATGGGGATATGGGGATCATAGATCATAGACAGAGTGTGTGATATGGGGGGATCATAGACAGGTGTGTGATATGGGGGGGATCATAGACAGAGTGTGTGATATGGGGGGGGGGTCATAGACAGAGTGTGTGATATGGAGGTGGGGATGTTGTGGACAGGAGTGTGTGTGTCTAATGGAGGGGGCGGGGGGAAAGCCGTGTGTGATGGGGATTGGTGGCCATGATGTGTGTAATGCATATTGGGATTTATGTAGAAATACTTTTGAATTTTGCACTCTGTTGTTTGAAAAGTGATAGAAGATGCAGGTTATAGGTAGAATATAACCCAATACTTGGTTGAAAGAGTTTAGTGTTTTTTCTCATATAATATTTTAGTAAAATATCCCTCCCCCATTCCTATGCTGGTTAGTTTATTATTATTATTTTAATAATATATAGTATCAATGAAGATACTATAACCATTTTATGTCCTTGAAGTGGTTATAGTGTCTGGAGTCCCATGGCGCTGTCCCTTCATTCAGATTCCCTGCAGTTTAGAAGGGATGGGGATGCCGGGGACTTCTGTTTACATTAAAACAAAACAAACAAAAAACCCTAAATGGAAGACTGGAGCTATCGGACTCCAGACACACTACCCACTACAATGACAAGAAGCCGTTACATTGCCTACACTGTCCTGTTTTAATGTGCTGTTCCTTTTGAGATTATAAAAACCTATGCATTCCACATATTGCCGGCCAATTTGCTTGTGAATGGTTTGACAATCCAGAGTCCTCCGGACGCTCTTGCACAGGGCTTAGCTCAATGCAGAGAGGACTCGGCTGTCATGGAGAAAGCGAACAGTGTCCATTGGAACAGGCTGCAGAGATCTCCAGGCACCATAACAACTGCAGCAGTCTGATGTAGATATAGCGCTGGGTTGCGTTACTCCTACTCTCCAGGGTGAAACACAACACCCACGTCGCACTTTTATATAGAAAATAACATTTATTATAACATTAAAACTTTGAATAGCTCTTGCAGCTATTGGATTCTGTTACCTAGAAAATTATTTTAAACCACTTAAGCCCTGTCTATACCGTAAGAGTAGATTGCTTCCAGGCACTTTCTCATGTACTGTATACAGTGTATCTCTGTCAGTAATGGTAATTGTAATGCCTTGAGAGCCTCGCATTATATATGTATATATTTTTTCTATTCTCTAGAATAGTGGGGCTGACTGAAAGCGCCTAAGAGGGGGGTCTTTTCATAGAATTATGAGACATCTGTTGACTCCTAACAAGCATTGAGGTGACAATCCATATTTAAAGTCCTTGGTACAATATATGTAAGTTGCAAAAATTAATAGTTTTCTGTGTGAGTCCTCGAGTGAGAGGTTACTGGTTTAGCTGCCTTTACTGATATGGGGGGAGCAAGGTGTCAGACTGACCAAATTCTAATTGCACGCTTTTAACGGCAGCATTTTATCCAATCACTTCCCTGCCGTGTTAAATGGTTTTGTTATAGCCGGTGTTATTCTGCATCCCCTCAGTGATTTACTTTTTGAATGTGTGTTAGAAGAAGTGGTGTTGTCACATTTCTTCTGAAAAGCTCTCTGCTGCCGAAGGTCACAAGGCAATTAATATCAAGATTTCTTCTCTCTTCTATTCTCCAACCCATACATGTGGGCTGAAACATGACCGTGAGAATGCATAATGGCTACTGCGGTGCTCATTAAGGCATCAAAGTGCCACCGAGTTTGAAAGTCAGAATTTATTTGCTGTGTTCACTGTCAAACGCAGTTTAGCTTAAGAAGGACCGGTGTACAAACTTACTACTAGAAGTCTGTGAGCAGGCCTCTGTCATCCGGAGATAAACTGTATTTAACACTTCTTTACTGCGATGCATACATCTTTCATTCTATTTAGTGTAATACAGAACAAATAAGGCTCCAATAGAAAAATAAACCATAAATAAAGGATAACTCAATCCCTGTGGTTTTATTCTGGTGACTGTTCTGTTTTGCAGAATGTGGAACACACCATTACACCATAATTGCCTAGGGTAATGGTTGGTTATGGTGCGAGGAGTCCCCTGGTGTTATGTCAAACCGTTTTAGTATTGGTTGACAGATTACCTGGTGGTACAGCGGATTGAGCCTTCTCCAATATTAGAAACAAGGTGTCACTTTAAAATGAAACATAAACCCAAGACAAGTATTGATTGGCACACGTCCCTCAATAGTCCGGAGAACCACCTCCAGAATAGTTAAAGGGTTACTCCAAGCACCATAACCACTTCATTGACTTGAACGCTACACATACAGAAATTAACCTCTTAGCTGCCAGCAGTGTAACTCCACCTCCGGCAGCGTCATTAGCCAACTGTTTTTTTTTTTGTTTGTAGTATCCCTTTAAACCATGATAAAGAATATCATCCCCTTAATAACCTGGTGGGAGCTACAATGACCTTCTCCCTTTGCAGGGCCATAATCATTGGTTTACATACAGAATCAGTGGAGTGCTTTCAGCCAATGGCACTGCTTTACTTTAAACCCCCGTGGACACGGCACTCAATGGTGAAACCAACATTCTTTATTCTCGGTATAACTCCACCTATCCTTTAGCAAGCTTTCTTTAAATTCGCTATTAGGATATACAGTAACATAGAATGAAACTACATTGCAACAAGATGAATTTTCTGTGTTTGTGTAGAAATTGTAACCAGGCTGTATTGTGTGTCTGTTTCTCTCTAATTGCTGTTCACGGGTTAACCATTTTAGATTTAGTTTTCTCTCCGTCTTTTGACTGTCGGATTTTCCTGCTGATCAGATTGCTTGTAATACAGTTGAACATTTCCGTCGTGATGCTCCAAGTGTGTGCGTCTGTTAGTTAAGTGAACAATTTCTGCTGCAATGAATGCTAAAATATAATGAACATTTTCAGAACATTAGAATGGATATTATCGGTATAAAAAGCTGCAATTCACGTAAAGTGAGCCCACCAACAGGTGTTCTATATAGAAATACAGAATATTTACCAGACCATGCCAGTCCCGCCAATCACAATATAGTATACAAATAAACAATAAAGTGGGCAAGGAAGGAACTATTTCCCCATTGATTTCTAAACAAAGTCCCTACTATACCGTCAGTATCAATATTTCCACTTCTGACTTCTGGTGTGCGTGTGGTGATATAAATATCGACCTTTTAAAGGAACACTCCGCACAAGCCAAGCTTTATGTGTCTAGATTGTGCTATTTACTTAGAAATTGACTTTTATAACTGGTGGTAGGAACACCTCCTTTTGCCAAATGGGAGGGCTGGCAAAGGGGATTTTTCCAGTTTGGTAATTTTGAACTTAAATTTTAAATTCACGTAGAATTCCTTACAATTCTCACTATAATATGTTTTCTTCGCAAACTTAAAAGAGCCATTCCATACTACAATCTTTATTTAGTAGACCTACCTTCTATGAATACAACCATGCGTTTTTCATGCATGTATTTATTGGGAGAATATATTAAAAAAGTTTACAAACACCGCAGTTCTAACTAATGGCAGTATTTTCAATACCTTCTATTTTTTTTTACCCCTGGAAGAGACTAAGCTTCTTAACGGGATAAAGCCTATCAGAGGCTTGAAACTATGTCCTGTGCGCACTCCTACTTCTACACCGACACACTACACCGCATTCAGAAAGATCGGCGGTCTGAGAAGGAGGTATGCTTGGAGAGGCAGGTACGCTCAAGTAGATCTGGGGAGGTAACGGAAGCAGACTGCTAATGTCCCTGGCTTTTAGTCAAGAGCCAAGAGGGTGTTATCATTAAGATGCTAAAGGAACATGCCACTGCCCGAAACAAAAACACTGTTTAATTAATAATGCTTTATTAAAAAAAACATTTGAATTGGGGGGTATATCTGAAATGATCAGATCTCCTTCTCTGCAGCCTTTGCAAGGCCTCCCCTTCTAACCCCGCCCAGACTTTCTGTGTTTGTCCAATCACAGACTTCCCAATGCAGCTCAGTGTGAAGTCTCTCCAAGGCAGGTGCTCTGGGCAAAGCTTTGGACAATTGCTGCCTCTTCAGTTTAGCTCCACTGAGAGAAACAACCAGGAACATGACTGGTTCTCTGACAGCCACGGATGTGTAAGAAGATGAATTCTTAAAAGTGCCTATTTCTAACACTCCACACATGAAGCACTTTAGCAAGCTAATATTATTTAGGTGTTTGGAGTGGTCCTCTAAAAGCACAATTTAGTCTGATTTGCTGTTTTCTTTAAATTTTCATTATTATTTATTTTTAATCTCCCTATAGTTTTCAGGTAAAATACTTTTAGTCCCTTTCTCTGTCCCTTAAATTATGTTATTTTGCTAGTTTTTCACTGCAAATGATGATCCCAACTTAGTTCCTTGTCTAGTGACATCATTCTATTACCACATTCAGAGACACATGCGGTATATCCAGCAGACCTATCAAACGTGGACCAGCACTCACTACATTTTAACAGAGGGTGTCCGTGGCCCACCGCCACTATGGCTTGATAAAGAGAGACCCTATAATTGTGTTGAAACAATGCTGCTGTGAATACATATTCAGTGTACTTGGATATGAGTAATATCTGAGTTGTGTTTTTTTGTTTTGTTTTCAATATAATCACATTATTTCCTCAAAAGCACACCAATACCCATCTCTACCTCCTGTACGGTGCCATAAAGACTGAACCTGTAGATGTTATGATGCTGGCATGGCTTTAGTTTTGGAAATATACTTCCTCATGCCTTGATAAATGCATTCTATGTAAATGTTTATAGCTTCTCCCATTACTCGCCCACATTACACCAGATGTTACAGGAATATAGAGCAAATCGCACACATTACCCATAGAGGACTGAATGGACTCATACTGTTTAACGGGGCATGCGCCACAAGGCAGCACATGGTATATTTAATAACCACATACAGCCAGCTGTAATCCATACAGAATTGTTGGCCTCGGTGCTCTGCAGCAATAGCTGGCGGAGGGGAGGAAAACGCTACACAGATCAGCAGAACGTGCAACAAACACTGTGCTGCATGTGTGTCAGTGCGTCGGTCTGTGCGAGTGGCTAATGCAACACCATGTGGGACAAACTCTGTGCATTACATTGGTTGTGCATTTGTTTTTTGAATGACTAACTCCATTTCTCATTGGGTACCAGTGTTTGAGGAGCTCCAGTGTATTCGCCCTGTTGTCCAAGAGATTTACGTTCTGTATATTTGCATGGCAATAGGTTCTCCCAACCATGGGCAGAACTACTGCAGGTGCAATGACAGCGGGCCCACCAGAGTTCTAGTGGCTTATTCTTAGCAAATACTTAGGGTTCATAGGCAGGCAAATATGTCAAAATCTAATTTAGGCAGGGAGAGGGTTAATTGTCTGGGAAATGTGGCAGTAAATGGGGGTGGGGGGAGGGTGAACTGGCATTTGGATGTAGGGTCTTGTCACTGTACAGTTAGTTATTTGTCAGTGAGGAACATTTGATTTTGGGAATGTTATGGTGTATATCTCTGACCTCCATATATGCATTGCAGGTGATTTCAGTAATAAAGGTTTGGCAGTGGGAAGCCCTATTACTCTGTAAGTGCATGTAAAGCTCATGCTGTCACAGAGCAGATAGATTAAACAGGGCTGGAATAATGAGTTTCAGGCACTGATGACCCGCAGTACAGCTGATATACACCATGCGCGGAGCTACAATACCTGGTTCAAGGATTGAAACGTTTCTTACTGACATGGTAACGGCTGGGACCTGGTTCTAATGGATCACTAATAACATGAGGTCAGGCCTGTTTCCATACCTACTCATTTAGCCATTTACTAAAATGCGCACAGAAAGGGAAGAAGCAATTAGATCAGAGTCACGGAACACGTCAACATCAATAACCTTACTTAACCCCTTAAGGACCAAACCTTTGGAATAAAAGGGAATCATGACATGTCACACATGTCATGTGTCCTTAAGGGGTTAAAGCCGTAACGCATATTGGGCCCTTTGGTTAAAATTACCTTTTTCTTTTCCTTTTTTTTTTTTTAAATGCATAATAGTTGAAAAATGACTTCTCAGAATTTTTCATGTTTTGTACATACCTGTTTCATGGAAGAGATGGAATGGACAGGAAGGAAATAGAAGTAAGTGTAGCTTGTTTTGTGTGTGTGTGTGAGATATATATTTACAATGTTAAACAAAAATCTGCACAGCAGTCAAGCCATAAGATTTGCTTATGCCACAGGAATCACAAAAAAAACACATTTTTGTATCATGTTTAGGTTTCAAAGATGGGTAACAGACCAATAGAAGTTGCTATGCAAACAACTTGACACTGACTGAGTGCTGCGTCTTTAATTGACAGATTGACAGCCGTGAGAGAGAGCCAGTAGCCTGGCTGCTTAGCCATTGATTTTCCTATCGACCTGGCACTGGGTTTCTTTCCTCGGTATCTTTGTTGGAGAGGTGCGTCAGCTCATTTGGAACTGTTGCAGTGTTGAGATTTGATTGTGATCGCTTGATATTATGGAGAAATCCAAATGAATGTTCGCTCACGCATTAGAACACAGTTGCCTCCCCCCCCATCAGTGTTACCGTCTTGACTTTCTAAAGATATTATTTCCCCAAACCTATTGTAGCACGAAACTTAAATGACCGCATCCCCGTTCCTTATTATTCTTTTTGACAAATCGCGTTGCTTTCCAGGTTTAATGAAGTCATTGATACGCTAAATTAATGTCACCCTGTGTGTCCCCAATCAGTGTATGTGTGATTACACTCACATTGAGTTTTTAATGGAGCCTACCAAGGTTCCCTATCCATGTGGCAGCCGGGAAATGGGTGAAAGCACTTCTGACACTGGCAATAAAGCAGTGATCTGGTCAGTGTGCAATAAAACAAATTGCAGTATTCTCCAGAGAGATCTGACTGTAATATTGGGAATAAAATAATATTTAACGATAAACTGTTAGAGGTCACCCATTCCACTTACAGCAGAGGATAGCGTTCCTAACAGTAAAAAAACAATAACCATTTCAAGGATATAATTGATGTGTGTGAGTGAACAGGTTGTTGATCCAAGGAGAAATCGGAGTGTCATTATGGAGTCAAGATCTTTTTTCGTTTTTGTGGCATGATTGGAGATGGCAACAATATGGGTTTTGTTTTCTTTAGAATCAACAGCATAAAATAATGTGTTTCAAGGCTGAACTTGATGAACTTTATTTTTTTCTTTCTTTTCATCCTACACAACTATGTAACTAAGATGCAAACCATTTCATTTACTGTAAACTTTGTTTGCGATCACTATAAACAAGAAATAAGGTGTTCTCAACTTGTGTTTTTCTCTTTAAAGAGAGGCAGCCTTGCATGTAGTCAGATGTCTTAAAATAAATCTAGTGCAGGTTTTGATATTTATTGGCATTGACTGAATAAAGTGTGTGTTTGTTTTTTTTTTTTTAATTATTATTATTTATTTATTTATTTTTATATAAATAAAATCATTCCGAAATAACTCACATTGACTGACTGTGGAACTCCAACACAGTCTAATGATGTGAGTCAAAGTAGGGATACATTTGTTTTCAAGTTAAAGGGGCACTATTGGCACCCACATGAAGCGGTCTGTTTGCAGTCTCCCCCGTCCCTTTAATCTTGTAATTGAAAACATTACAGGTTTAGAGAAACTGTCTTTACAAGCTGTCTCCCAGCCGTGCATTCAGTTTCCCTCATCACTGACTTCGGAGGAGGTATAGAAAGACCTCGCCGCTGGAATCATTTATTTGCCGGTAATTTACCCCAGTCATCTTTAGTAAAGTATGTAAAGACCCCCAAAGGTGACAGACCCTCCTCAATCGTGGTATGGTAAAAATGTAAACCAAAAGTGAAATATGCACACATTTATTTTCATAATGATGTCCTCATGTTTGGAGATTGGTTGGTAAAGTGTGTTAACTCTTATTTTTGGGTAGAAATAAACCTGAATGATGCACTTTTATAGTCAGGGGCACAAACTCCTCCCTGGCTGTCAATCAGCCAAGCATGAGCACTCCTGCCTGCCCCCTTCTTGGTGAGCTGTACTAAAAATGATTGAGAAGCATAGGAAACCCACACACGCTCACAGCTCAGACGCCTCAATGAGAAGCTTCTAATTGGAGTGTCCCCAGGACTGTAGGTTCTGCAAGCTCATTTTTTCTTTCTTTTTATATACCCCCACAAAAATGCATGCATGTCTTCTTTGAGGGTATATCTACTAATTCTGTTAAAATATATTTCAATGGGGTGATGATACCACAGGGATCTGCTTCATTGAACATGGGATGGAACCTCTGTGGAGGTCAGTACATGCCTGAGGTCCGTAAATAACCAAAAACGTACCCCTCTGTCCTTACAGGTTAATTGTATCTGAAGGATGTCTTAACAAATTCCTCTCCACCACTTGTAAACCATCTATAAAATGTCGGTGCCCCTGACTTGACCTAGTCAAAGGCAATTCCTTAGCTTTACAACAAAGCTATAAACTAAACTGAGATTTGTCCACATTGTAAAAATAAATTAAATAAACCCTAAAAGCTATTTATTTTGACCTCCTGCCATACTCGTATCTCCCTCTTTGCGCAATAATCTTTAGACTTCATTACGCAGAAACCGGAGTGAAAAGTATATATTTGTTAAAATGTCAGCCATGTGAGTAAGATACTACTCTGGAGAAGATTTAATAGTTTTGTATAGTTTGACAACTGATTTCTCCCTTATCTCATCCCTTTAGTTTATGCAGCGGAGTCTTGATGCAGAGACTAAGAAGCAGTTAGAAGAAGATGAGAAAAGAATAATCAGCGATGAACACTGGTACTTGGATTTACCCGAACTGAAGGAGAAAGAGTAAGTAGCCCATCGTGCTCTGATAATTGCCCCTCTCATGTGGTCGCTGTGGCGTTATGAAGCAGGCGGAGGTTTAACATGCGATGTGCATAGGATTGGTTTGCTAGGTATTGTCTGTGCTAGGATCCTGCACGCAGTATTTATAGAGGTGTTATTCGAAATCGTTTTTTAAACGCACAAGGCTGTAACCTGCAATAATTGGAAAACTCTGGAGCTCTGCAGCCAGATTTCTGATGTCTCTAATTTATAGTCAGCCCTGCCAGCCACAAACCTCCCCCCCCCCCAACCTTCTTCTTGATAGATGTGGGAACAGCCGACTGTATCAGGAATCCTTAAACAAACTTGTATCCCAGATTTCCTGACTGTCTACTGTAACCCCTGTACAGCCACGGAGAACCTGCAGTATATTGTCCAGGTAGATCAGTCTTTATAGCTTTTCCATGTGTTTTATTACTTGGTCATAAATACTCCATCCCTCCAGGGACTGTTTAACTGCATCAATTTTCTTTTTAACCTAGTAAAAGGCTACCAGTGTAATAAATGCCACATTGAATTATTCACTTGGAAAAGAATGTTAGCATAAAACAAATAAGACCACTTTCTATTTCTATACCCAATATATTAATGTATTGTTAACATATTATTAATGCATACTAGAATTCAATATGGATAAATTTAAAAATTAAGTAACACTAAAATGGCTAGTTACACAGCTTTTTAACATGGTCCAACTACATAAAAGGGCGTTAATGAGGCATATTTTCCTATATATATTCAGAGGGTTGCCCAGATTACTGCAGATAAAAGAGGGGTGATCTGTGTATATATGTTGGGCACAGGGGCAGGCCTCTGGTGGGTGCCAGTGAATGCCGATGGTCAATCTCTAATCCTCCAGCCATGTTCAGATGACTCCTGAGAAGACTGGGCCAGCTGACCACCTCTAAAAAAAAAAAAAACAAAAAAAAAAACTGTTCGTCAATGGTTATGTTGCTCGTAATTTGGTCACTAGCAGTGGGCACCAGACCAAAAAACAACTTTAATTACCAAGGACGTATCTATCTATCTATCTGTCTATCTATCTATCCGGTTCTTATTTTTCCGCTGCTCAGACACACAAATGGATGATACTAGGTTTTAAAATTGCTGTGTGCCTATCACTTCTAATAACGCTCTGGATTCACTTACTGAAACCGTGTTTTCATTGTCCCACGTTCTCAGGAGCTTTATCATTGAAGAGAGAAGTTTTCTCCCATGTGAAGATTTCCTTTTTGGCAGAATGTCCTTCAAGGGGTTTAATCCTGAGATTGAGGTGAGTGTTAAGAGGAGCTCTGTGCCATCTGCATCCCCCATATCCTTCCCTCACCATAGAATATATCTCCATTGCTTCTGTGGCATTCTACACGCTCACTGCAATGTGTTATATGAATATTTACCAGCAGGAGACGCTAGTCCCGGACCAGCACTAGGTCTGTATTTAATATTAAGTAAAATAACGAACTGTCCTGGGTGACCGTAGAAATAACTGGGAATAAAAGGACATTTACACCATGGATAACCTGTGCTTTGAAATGCATATTTAATAGTTTTACTGGCTCTGTCCATCAACGTGAAGGAATCCATGTTCTTGGCTGGATTGCTGGATTCAATATAAGGGGTATCCGTGCAATCACTGACTGGGTTATACTTTAAACTCGTATCAGACAAGAGATTAATACGCTCTTTTATGTGTGTTTCTCCCCCATTCTTACAGAAATGCAGTGTAGATTATTTAGAGTGATGAATAGTAAATTACATTCATTTAAAGGCAGGTGTCTATAGTCTTGAAGACCACTTGGCTATCACGTGGCTCAGGAACAGGACAGATTGGTTTGTCTTCACCAGTGAAGTTTAAATTTAGGCATCTGTCTTTAAAGGGACACTATAGTCACCAGATCCACTGCCAGTTAATGTAGTGGTTCTAGTGTCTCTATAGCCTTTCCCTGCACTGGTAGCATTGTAGACACTGTCTTTTAACAGAAAAGGCAATGTTGTTTACATTGCTGGCTAGTAATACCGAGGCGCAGTCACTTAGACAGCCATTAGAGGGGTTTCCCAGTGCACTGGCGTTCAGTTAAATGCTCCCCATAGAGATGAGGAGACGCTGATTGGTGTTTTGCTGCAATGTCCAACAGCCTCCCAATGCTTTCCTATATCCCCCCGTGCAGTCACTGTCGCCGGGATCCTAGTTTCCTGTGTGTTACAATAATCTAACCCCCCACCTTCTTCTGCAGCAATTACTGCTGCTTGGAAGCACTTACCCATGAAGGGGGCGCTTTTCTTGTAATGCCAATGCACTGGCTTAATTTCCAGCGTGTCATTGTCTCTTGCTCCCCTTCCCGTGTTTCTCAAGCAAGCTGACTGCTTTTATGTTTGCTGTATGTATGGGCCCAAACATTATTTATTTCATTTGTTTAGAAGCTGATGGTTCAAATGAACTCAAAGACAAAGGATGAAGAGGTTGTAGATGAAGGAAAAATGGAAGTTGATGTCACAGATGAGGAGATGGCGCTAAGGTAAGATATATTTCTATCTTCTGTTCGAACAGCAATTTCCCAGGAGACTTGAGCGCTTGTCAGAAGATCTTTCAGGCTGTGTCTCAGTTGTCATTAAAAAAAGGTCAGGGATACCAAAGGTCTACTGATCATTTATGATGTTTGGGTATTACGTTTACCAGAAAAGCTAAAAGAAGTTAATCGAATCCCAGCTTAAACTTTGGTGTCGCGTGTAGTTAGGTACTTCTCACTGAATTTGTTTAGAAAGTTAAAGTAAACCTATGTCTGCGTCTACGAACTGCCTAAAAAAACAAACCCTTTATACATGCTGCATTCTACTGTTTTTGTATTCTGCCCTTTTCCCTTGGATTACTGGCAGGATCTATCACATCCATGACATTCTCACATTTGGAAGGCAGGGTCCTCAACCCCCTCTGTTCCTGTGCATCCAACTCGTCTTGTTGCAAATACTTGTCTGTTAGTCCACCTATTGTACATCGCTGCGGAATGTGTTGGCGCTTTATAAGTAATAATAGTGTAAATCCAGTGTGGCCTAATGGGTCTGATTTGTGTTGGACCTGTTGCAGCGTCTTGTCATTTCCATTGTGGAAAATGCTGCAACCACATGTCTGTTAGTAGAATGACTGTCATACATCTTCCGTCTCATAATGTAAAACCACAATTGATAAAATTCGAATGGAAGTGCAGTGCTGATGGTTTGCATGGGATAACCGGAGTGAAGTTATCAAGGACAATGCTCCACTCTACACATAACTTACAGGTTACAGAAGATAAGGCCTGGAAGTGTTGGTTTTTTGGTTTTGTTTTGCCTAAAATATAAATAAAACCTGCTCCCTAGCTAATATTTGGGTTCCAAACTAATATTCAAAAACCTCAACACAATAGATACTCCATAACACTTACGACTCACAAATGAATAATGAATGTGTAAAGAAAGACATAACCCATAAGAACATGTGCAGAGGAAACTAATGCGATAAGAAGAATCCCAGTAATCTGTGGATGTGTATCTTGTTAAAGAAATAAGAGTGTCTGTCATTTGCCTCCCACCATTTCTTATATTGACATAAATGCATTGTACAGCGCTACGGAATCTGATGGCGCTATATAAATAATAAAATAATAATTTATGTTTGGTTTTTCTCCCTTATTTGCAGATATGAGTCACTAGTCAGCAGTATTCAGAAAAAGTTTGCGAAAAAGAGAGACCAGAAGGTGCTGGAGGATGATCAAAATAGGAATATCAAAACCACCAAAATAAAGAAGGCTTTCCTGAAGCCGCAGGATTAAATGCCTATTTTTTTTTTTTTTATGTGAAAATATTTTTTAGTAGTCGGTCTAAACAAAAAAGAAATGCGTTGGTACACATCAGACTGTAAGATCAGATGGCTATACGGGTACATTCAGAGTACAGAAAACCATGGCATCGTTATGAAAAGTCGGATCCTTTTCATCCAGAGAATAAGCGAACCCAGCATGACGGCCTGATTAGAAGACCAAATATTTAACTTTGTATAAAGAAATCTATTTTAAATATCTGGACTTTATAAGAGTGTTTTGTTTTGTTTACAGTAGTATATGATGTTTGATTTTCTATGATATTGTTAATTGGAAGTGGAAACATTCTAGGAAGCGAATTCATATGACGTGAAAGTTGTATAGTGAGTGAGGACATTTCCTGTAGACCTATCATGGGAAAACCTTGTTTATAGCCACACAATTGAAAACCATATTCTCAACGTGAGACTAAGTATTGTACACTGCCCAATTCTTCGGAACTTAAGCATTTTCCAGATTAGTTTTAATTGGGATATTTTATATGAAACCTGAACATATGGGGTGGGGGGGAGGTTTGAGGAGCATAGAGACCACTGTTATAATGTATTGAAAAATGTGTGGTTATCTGTCAGAGATCTGGATGTTTTGCTGTGGGATGTGGATATCATGATATCTGGATGGTTTTTCATACCTTAATACATCGCCCCTATTGCCTTTTGCACACCCAGGTTGCTCGTTGGTTTTGTATTCTTGGGAGAGCATCCTTTAAACTCGTTGGGGATACCACTTGTGATGTTATGAGAAAAGCTTGCAGGTTTATCCAAGATGTGGGAAGTAGAAACCCCATTGATTTGAATCAAGTGTTTTCCCAGCATCTCTGTTCTTTAGTGTGTGTTTTGTGCTAGACTTGTGCAAAAATTCCTTTTTAATCCACACTGAATTAATTGATCTGCGCAGAATTAACTTGTGGTGTCTTATTAAATGAATAAGACTCCACATCCTGGATGGATTGACTTGTTTGATTGTAGATTAAAAGGTATTTGATTTGAATGAATTGGCTGAAATGAATTTTTGCTCAAGTCTATTTGCCCCCCCAGTGTGTGATTGACTAGTGGAGGAGGGAACAAGTTCAGAAATGCTGGATAATAAACATAGTGAATAATACCTGGAACAAGTCCATGTTCTAACTCTAATCTTTATTTTATTTTTTCTTATTTATTTTATTTTTTTTAAACAAACTAAGCAGGTTTCAGAAATATTGACACGCGATATGGGCTAATCAGAAAGTACTAAATAATGCTGCAATGTAAACATCTCATGGCCAGTTTGGTTGTGTACGTATATTAATGGCCTAATTGTTATCGCTGCACAATTCATGTTTTAAACCGTCTCTGGTCAATTATAGAAAAATAAAATAAAATCCCTGCTTAGAACTGTAAGGATTTATTTTCTTATAATTTATTGCAATACAGTGAATACATTTTGTACGATAAACAGCCTCCAGGTGAACTGATTATTCATACATCGTGTGTATTATTGAAAATTACAGAATCATTTACTTTTCCAGAAGCAGAATGTGTTATGTAACGGAGGAATTATTATTTATTTTTAACGGCTTTATTTTGTCATGCATGGATTATACAAGCTGCATTTACACCAGCAATGCCACAACAGCTAATGCCAGAGTTTCCATAAACCTATGAAGACAATTGTATGGCATGGATAAACTGTGCACATTGTTAAATTTAATAGGACTAGACAGTGGTGTGGTGCGAGTCATAGTGTGTGTGTAAGAGGCTGTGTAGGCTTATTCACTGACTATGTTAATAGAAGTGTAGCAGATGCTTAGTGAATGAATGACAGCTTGAAATCAACAGTAAGGTAAATCCCCAGACAGGTGTGAGGATATCTGTTGAAATTACCCCCCTCGCTAGCAAGATGTCTACTGGAGGGGAACAGGGCCGGCTAAATAAACAAGCAGCTGCAGTGCTAAAGCCAAAATGGTGTAGTTTATGGTTTCTGGATGTCAGTTTTACAGCCAAGGAGGTTTTCTTCCCCTTCTGTTAGTTCCACAGAGCTAACAGAAGCACTAGGCGTGATGGACTAGTGCCCACCTACCTTCCCTTTCTCAAGGAGATTTCCTGTAAACACTGTCTTAGCAGTATACAATCCAGCCAACTCATTGCAAACCTGGGTCCCCTAACCTGCACTTTTGGAAGCCAGAATCGCTTCATTTGCTTGTCAACACACCAGGGCAATCCTGAGGCCTAGCTGCAGCCTGGCAATATGGGAGTGAAAGAGGCGGCCGATCCCTCAAACCACGAGTAACAGACTACCTGCTCCTCATCTGCCAGTGAGGGATATCTCAGCACCTTAAGCTACGTACGGATATCTGAGACTGGTCTGTGCACAAACTGATAAAATCTAGGGGACTAGCTTTGCGTCCAAGGTGGCGATGGGACTCTAGGTGTGTGAGGCCTCGATTGGACTTTCTAGTGACATTTGATAGCATATGCAATGCCTTCTGGGACCGGTTGGGGGAATCCTGGTATACCAGATGCATGGATGCCCGAAAGAAGGAAGGATGGGGCATCCAAGAGGCGAGATATATTGGAGCGTCCCTCACTTCGCTCTGAATCCTAAACCATAAAGGGAACTGTCTGGGGGGGGCAAACTTGTTTCTGGGCGTTGATGGTACCAGCCTTGTGACGAGGCATCAGCTAAGTGACTTGTCGTGTATAGGACTCCTGATTTATGCAACTTTACCTGGGCCTACCACCAATGCTCATTCTAATTTTTCTTAGTTGATGTGCGTGTGTTTGTGCATACAGAATGTTTGTGTGAATGTAAACCTGAAATTTTCTTGATAAGTTTGGTACACTACTGCCTCTCTTTCATGGTTTATAACACTATATTACAGTATTTCTATGTCTTATTGTAGTATTAGCAGCTACACAACAGTATTACTGCAATGTCAGCCATTCAGACAGACCAGCCTGTCTGCTAATGTCCATTTTGGTCTGTCAGACAGCCCATAGAAAGCAATAAAGGGCAACTGCACAAACAATGGTACACACAACTCAAATGTTGCCTGTATACTTCGCCATGAAGCTATAGCCCCACCATCACCACTGTAAATAGCACTTTAAACCATTACAAATAATTCATTTTTCACTTAGCCAAAATATAGTATTGGTAGCTTGCCGACTGTATTTGGACAAGAATGTTCATACCCCAACTTGGGGGGAAAAACTGAATGCAGTTCATTAAATAGATATATGTATTTATTTATAATTTTTTTTTTTCCACTGGACCATTTAAAGGGAATGGATCTTGCAGTTTCTCTCTGCTCCCTTGCACGCTCTCTGTAGCGATACCAGGACCAGAGTGACATTCTATTCTGGCTCCCAAAATCACTACCAAGGGCGTGCAAGGGAGCAGAGAGAAACTGTAAATACATCAGCACTCCCTCAATACCCCTGCCTCCTCTCTTCCTCCCACTTCGGAGGAGTCCTAAGGTGGGCAGCTGGCCACCTCCTGGGGCCCCCGTGACAGGCCAATGACTCGTTTCTCGTGGCGCCTCCCCACATTCTGGTGTGTGCCACGAAGAGCTGTGTGCAGTTTCATACTCTGTGCGCTCCCTCAAAAAGTCTGTGCACGCATACACACACTTCTTAGAGGGAACAATGATTACCACACTAAGCAAAGTGTGCCCTAGACTATGATAAGATTTGTTGATAAACCCTGTTGTGTGACCCATGGGGGTGTTTAAGTGCCAGTGCATAGTCCTAATGTGTTTTGCTACAATCTAAATACCGTTCGTTTTAGCTTTTGTTTTATAACTGCAGGTTTGGGCCTTGTACACATTAACTTTATTTTCAGTTTTTATGTCCTGTATATGCGTAGTCTGCAGTTTACTCAGGTTACCTGATTTTGTTGTGTAGCTAATCCTATACCTGTCAGCATTTTATAGCATATTTTTCACTATCTAATTCCATGTTAAAGGGACACTGTAGTCACCAGAACAACTACAGCTTATTTTCTGCAAACGCTGCCTTTCAGAGAAAATGCAGTGTTTAAATTACAGCCTAGGAACACCTCCAGTGGCCACTCCTCAGATGGCTGCCAGAGGTGCTTCCTGGGGCTGTGCTGCACTGCACAGTGTGACTGACATTCAGTGTCTCCACCCTCTACATGCAGACACTGAAATGTAATCATAGAAATGCATTGATTAAATTCATCCCTATGAGGAGATGCTGGTTGGCCAGGCTAATTGGGAAAGCATTGGATTGACTGAAATAACCAATTCTGAGGCGCTTGAAATAAGAAAAGTTTTAACCATTTATAAGGGGGCTAAGGTGGGGCAAGCCACCTAAATGGTGGTTTTAAACCCTATAGGGTCAGGAATACATGTTTGTGTTCCTGACGCTATAGTGTTCCTTTAAGGAACTAACATAGATAACAAGCTTAGTCTCTTTATATACTCTTGACATGTTTGGCTAGCCAGAGCTCAATACTGCTTACAAATCATACCAGTTGCCAGGCATTCAAGAGTACTGCACATTTTTAGTTTAAATAATATTGCTATTGCTGTTGGGGCATTGCAAGAATGCTTGTTTTAGGTGCTTTGTAGATATTGTGAATCCTGTACTTTTGTGTAGGTTTCAAAGGCAAAAAGCACTGATTTTAATCTAGGCACCAAATGCATCCAGCTAATTGCTGCAGGTTTGCTTGGACCGACCCAAATCCGATCAGATTTGGCCTTTTGTTTTTTTGTTTTTTTACTAAACACAAAATCCAGTGTTTTAGAAATAAACCATGTATTTTTTTGGTATTCATTTTTGAAAGGTATATGAAGAAATGAGAAATTCCAACACAGTCTGACCCAAGGTGTATGTAAATGGAGGAAGGATCCCGACATATACTAAAGGTAAGGATGAGTTTATCTTCATTCCTTTAATAAATCATTTATGTCAATAATATTTTTGAGGTGACCGTGGCCCTGCAAGTTTCAATTCTGTTTTTTTCTCCCCATCTCAGTTACTTTGCTAAATCCCTAGAACTACTGGTTTAGTGAATGACAGTGTCATGTTTCCCTCTGTGTGAACCGCGTTGACGTCTTTCTAACTTGTTTCTGCTGCCCTTCATCATAAATCTCATGGTTGGCTTAGCACCTAAATAAGCCGTATTCTAACATACATCCCTAAGCTTTATTGCTGCAGCACGCCTCCACAAATCTGATGAATTGTTAACCCTGTGCAGTTTGAGGCAGTTTGCCCATTTTTTTTTTTATTTTTTTTTTACATCAATCCTCTTATATGCGTATTCACAAAATTGTGTGTAATGAAAGCTTTGTTCCAGATTGAGGTACAGAAATGGAGTGGAGTTTTCTGTCTTCTAAGTCTATAATAGTGAAAATCTCAGCTGAATAGAAACCTGATAGAATCCTAGAGATTATTAGCTGAATACGCTGCAACATTTTCTCCAGAAAGCCTTATTTTGGGAGAAAGGGGGGGAAAAACCAAACCAGTATATTCCGTAATTCCCACTTATTGCTTATTATGGCGTTAAAACTGAGAGACAAATTTAACCTCATCTTGGCATGCGTTTAGAACGGGCGCGTTGATTGACAGTTCCATATCTTTCTGCTGTATATAATTAGGCAGAGTGTTTTTATGTTATTTTTTCTGCTGGGTTTCAGCGTGAATGGTGCATGATACATAGTCTAGCATTTTAGACAATGTAGCCATAATTTGTCTTAAGTGGTTTCCTAACTTGCATAGATCATGATGCTTTATAAGTTATGTCGGCCTTTGAAGCTGAGGAACAGAACTGGAAGGTATTTACTGCATGTCTTAATGTGTTATGTAGATAAGGGTAATTTATGAAAATCTCTCCTTTTGTGTGAATTGTAGCAAACTGAAAACAGAATTGAAGGGGGAAAAAAATAAGGCTGAAATAGCCAAGCTGGAACTGTAGCCGAGTTGAAGACAATTCAATTTACCACTGAAGGCTATTTACAATACAGGATATAAATAGCCCAGCGGCATTTCTCAGGGCCCTGGCTGTGAAGGCGCGGAGTGCTCTGTGGTGCTTGGAGCCTGATAGGGGCTCCAACTATACAAAGAAAGAATGAATTGGGAAACAATTTAATGTTAGTGTTAGTGCAAACAATACACTGATCAATACATATAATCAAACACTCTTTGTAAATACAGATCTTACACACTGGTACTGTTGCAAACTTGATCCAGGAAGAAAACTGTGGCCTATGATTAGGGCTGGACTAATCACAGACACATATATATTTATACACACACTCTCACACACTTTTTTTTTTCTCTCTCCATAGCCTCTTTTCTTAAACTCTTTTTTTTCTATTCCCCGTCTCCTGCTGACACCATAAATTATGTTTTCAGTGGATGTTACACTTGCTATAAGACAATCTTCTCCTGCATACCTCTGTTTTGGGAAGCACATAGGTTAAACATTCTCAACGCTTTATGTTAAG